CCTTTCGACCATATTGGTAACGAAACTCTTGCTCATTGCAATCATTACATTCAACCAAAAGCGTTGGTGTCTGACTCTCTCCCATGGTTCTTTCTCTTTCGGTCCAACTTCAATCCAATCTTTTGGCTCTTGAACATACAAGTCATCAAAGTACTCTCTACCAACTACTTCTATGTCTTTTACAACATAATGTAGTGCTGTCATATCTTTACTATCCTTCGCGAAGAAATCACTACCAAGGTCTAGTAAAAGCCAAAAAGCACTTGTAGCAAAGCATGCAGCAGCACTATGAAAGGGAGTTGATCCATTAAAGCTTCTGCTATTGATGTTTCCCCCACTTTTCACGAGAAGGTTAATAATTGACACCATTCCATGACAGGAAGCTATGTGAAGTGGTGTGGAACCATTGCAATCTTCTGCATTTAAATCTGCTTTCTCTGTAATTAGTAGCTGAACAGCACTGTGATGACCATATTTGGCTGCAATATGAAGCGGGGTAAATTCACAAGGGCAGCACTTCTGTATTAGGCATGACGTTCGGGGTCGTAAGTTACAACGTACGGACATATTCAATCCTGCAGCTAGCATCGCCTGCAGTGCGTCATAATTGTTATAGTAAACCGCCTCGTGTAGGGGCCATCTTCCCGCCGCATTCGAGCAATTGATAGCACTCTCTTCATCACGATAACGTAGCAGAGTTTTTATAACAGATGGGTGATTATTCTTGGCTGCAACATGAAGCGCTGTCTCTCCTATTTTCAAGTGGATGTTGTCGTACACATGAACTTTGATACCTTTAATATTGGTTGCCGGGCAGAATTCAATGAAAGGACTAAAATCTATACAGAGATCTCTAACGCCTTCTTTTAATAAATATTCCACGACGTGATGGTGATCTCTAGCAGCCGCATGATGTAGGGAAATTCCATCTAAATAAGCGCCAGCCTTTTTGAGAGCTATAACGACCTCGAGATGCCCATTTGCGGCTGCCAACTGGACGGCAGTGTTATTACAGCCTGTTGTTTTTGATTTACTCACATGATGGTCGATTAAGAATTTAACGACATCAACATTTCCCTCCTGCGCAGCTATGTGCAACGATGAATATTCGCACGTTCTTCTTTTACATTCCCGCAGAGCTTTTCGCACATCTGTTGGCGCCTTAAAATTTGGACAAGAGACGGTGTAATTGATGTCTGCCCCTTTTGAAGAAAGGATGATAAGATTTTCAAGATTTCCGCTAGTTGCAGCAATGAAGGCAGGCGTGCGATGGTTATTATCCAGACAATCCATATCATCAAAATGCGTCATTAAAAGCTTAGTAATTTCTGGGTTTACCAAGCGTGAACTTAAGTGTAATGAGGTGGTTTTTACTTCATCCGATCCGTTGACGCGATTTGAAGACAGTGCCTGAAACTCATCCACTTGATTCTTATTTGAACCTGCTTCCACGATGTGGCAAGCTAAATACAAAGCTTTTGCTGGTGTCAAGGCTTTCATGTTTCTCTTTAACTGTTCAAGGTAATATTCTGCAAGACGTCTATGGCCTTTCTGTTTCTTGACGTAAAAATCGTTTCCCTTATTGGATTCTCTGGTCAGCCAATCAGACAAGGAAGAGTGGTAAATGCGAACAAGTCCCTTTTCTGATCTATCCCAGAAGAACAGTGACACCTCTTTAAGTTTTGGCATTAAATCGTATTCATAGTCAAGGTCAGGGTAGTCACGTTTTAAGACATAAAATATGTCTTCAGCTGATAGAGGCGTATAGGCGGCAACCAAGATTTCAAAAATCTCTCGAAAGGGGCGAAATGATTCGCGTGAGCTAAACTTACGTTCAAAGTTCAGTTGGAAAATGTTATCAAGTGTTTTAGGAAAGCCCTGGTCAGTGCAACTGACTCTTTCCGGTGTTCCAAGAAGACAATCTAATAGGACCCTCGCAAATAAGAAATTACCTTGAGCTCTTTCCATAATACTGGTAACGATTTGTTGTCTAAGAGAACTGTTGTTCTTGATTGAAAAGTAAGTCTTTAAATCATGTAAAATTGAAGTTTTCAAAGGGTATATCTTAAGAGATAAATAAGTAACAATATCTTCTAAGTTTCTTTCGTCCTTTGATTTCAGTTCTAGTATTCTCACACCATCAAGGTATGAAGTGATAGAACTTACATTACGCGATGTAGTAATCACTTTTAACCACTTTGGGAGGCGTCGCACTTTAGACTTCAGCATCTTTAAAATTTCTCCTTGGCCATCGACTGAACACTCGTCTAAGGCATCAATAACAATATACCAGGTCTCTTTCGGTGGGTGTAGCAGGTTTTTCAGAGGTGTGAGGATTCCTTCCTGAAAGCACCAATCTGGGGCTTGAGCACAATCCTTCTGTAACACTCGACGAACAAAGGAATCTCTCGAAACGATTTTGCCGTATTCCACGAAGGTTGAGGAAATCATATTGGCAAGATTTTCCACAAATTTGGCCCCATTTTGAGTTCCTTTGTCCGAATGCATACAAAAGTGATAACCAGCTATTTTATCATGAATAAGTGGGCTTGCAGCTCTTGAACAAAGCAAATTCAAGACAAAAGCTGTCTTACCAGAACCAGGATTTCCAACAAGCAATACGCCACGGTTGCTTCAATTCTCCTTAAGCTCTTCGATATCACGATATAACCACTGTCTTCCGATGAAAACTGCTCTTGATGTAGTAGCGAAGTCGTCAAAGTCAAAATGCTTCAGGTTCCACCGATCTTCGTATTGTTTAATGGAACATCCTTTGCAAAATAAAATGATGCCGGTTAGAGACAACCTGTGGAACTGTTCATGCCTAATGCATAATCTAAGGAGGGGCGTAGATAGGAAGTAAAACTCTATTTATCAGCCATTTGCTAAATCGTTTACCGCACATCATGCTTCTGAAGTTAAATCGAAAAAA